AGTCCGATTTTTGACTTACGTAAACTCCCCCTGAACTTGACTTCAAGAGGCAAGTGTGCTGTATGGAAGCCCACCACACAAAAGCTCAGAGCAAGGACAATGAGACGGAGCTACTGGGCTGGGGGCCAGGAGATGTGCTTCCTTTCCTGCTGCAGTCCCTAACTCCCAGCACCCCTGGCCTGGGGCTTCCAGGTGGTGGGTGAGGCAGCCAGCATCTCTGGAAAGATGCAGGGAGGCGGCACATTTACGAGCTGCATCCTGGTCCCTGGTGCTCAACCACGCTCACCTCTGCAGTGTCTCTGCCGCGAGCCCCTCCAGGGAGGATCCCTGTCTCCATGACCTGGGTCTCTGCCCCCTGACACTTTGGGCAGAGCTGGTACAGCCAGGTGCCCATTCAAGGTCTCTAGAATGAAAGCAGAGTCAATGCAGGTCCACGTTCCCTTTTATGGAACTGGAGCTGACACGTGTGAAGATCACGCCGCAAGCTGGCAAAGTCTGCGGATCTGATCCCGGGCAGCCCTGTCTGCCGGCCTCTTCCAATCCTCGATATGAAATGGGCCTTAGGTCCGCTGATGAATTTTGAGTTTTTCCTTCCTCCATGCCCCTTCGGGCAGCCTTATGCTCTGAAGAGCAGACTCACCACCCACTTGCAAGATTCCACAAGATCACAGCCTGAAGGCTGGTCCTGGTGACCATCAATCTGATGTGCGACAGCCCCCAACACTTCCCATCCAGCCAGGCTGAGCCCCTTCAGGGACAGGGAACTGACTACCCCAGGAAATGCTGATTTGCAAATCTGAAAGGAATGGCCCCACTAACCACTGACCAGCCAAGGGGCCAGAAGCACCAGGTGTGGTCGGTGTCCTGTGTCCACCTGGCCAGGCCATTGCACTCAGTGACTTAATCCAATGCCAATCGAGGTGTTGGTCTGAAGGTATTTCATAGATGCGGTTAACATCTACCAACCATTGATTTTAAATAAAGGTGATTATCCTTGATAATGTGGGTGGGCCTCATCTCATCAATTGAAGGTCTAAAGAACAAAACCTGAGCTTCCCCTAAGGAAGAAGGAATTCTGCCTCAAGACTGTTGCATCTGAAACAGAGACACAGATGTAGAGAACAAACGTATGGACACCAAGGGGGGAAAGCGGCGGGGGTAGGGATGGGATGAATTGGGAGACTGGGATTGACGTGTATACACTACTATGTATAAAATAATAACTCATAAGAACCTGCTGTACAAAAAAATAAAATAAATTTGAAAAAACAAAAAAAGACTGTTGCACCTACTCCTGCTTGAGTTTCCAGCCTGCTGGTACACCCTACAGATCTCAGACTTGACAGCCTCCACAACTGTGTGAGCCAGTTCCTTATAGCAAACCTCTTCATTGTGCATTCCACTGGTTTTGTTTCTCTGGAGAACCCTGACGGACACACCAGACCAGCCCCACTGAGCTGGATCCAGCACACGGAGCTCGGAAAAGACGGGCAAAAGACTCTTCTACAAAGAGGATCAATGTATGTCTGCCTCCTGTTTCCCCAGAACATTCCACGGTGAGGGGAAGGAGGGCACTTGGTGACCAGCTGACATCTGCATCATAGCTCAGTTCCACAAGCTGTGCTCCTCCACCATGCTCCTCCCCCCTCTGCTCCTCCCCCGTGTTCCTCCCCCCACGCTCCTCCCCTGACACTCCTCCTCCGTGCTCCTCCCCCTCTGCTCCTCCCCCCCACGCCCCTCACCCCCGTGCCCCTCACCCCCTCTGCTCCTCCCCTCGTGCTCCTCCCCCCTCTGCTCCTCCCTCTCGTCCTCCTCCCCCCGTGCCCCTCACCACCGTGCCCCTCTCCCCTTGCTCCACACCAGGCTTGCCATTTCCCATCAAGTTACCAGGCAAATGCAGGCATCCGTGCCCGCCTCCCGGGCAGCGGCTGCTGGGCCAGCACCACCGGACATCCAGGAGGAGGACAAGGACCACAACAAGGCTGACTTCCCTCGGTAGCCGCCACTGAAACACATCCCAGTTTGCTCCCAAAGCTGGAACTGCCTTTAACCATCCTCTGAGGGGAGCATTCTGAGCATCTTAGGATTCCATGAGGGCCTGAGAGTGGAAGCTACTGACGCTTCCATCGTCCCCTTGCAAGAAAATGGTCCAGTTTCTCCAAAAACGATTTCCTTTCCCAGGAAAGAGACCCTCGCCTGAGTCTGCAGCTTCACAGCTGCCTGACAGACGAACGACCAAGAAGCCTTCCAAGGTCAGCCGGCCGAGGAACGCGGGAGAAGCTTTCCGGGGGCCCGTGTCTTTCTTGGGGACTTGAAGCCCCTAGGCCAGGCTCAGGGTCACCTCAAGTCCCCCCACCCATCCCGAATCCCTGTGATGACCACCTCGGGCTGGGAAGGCGGCCCCAGGGCTTGGCCAGGAGGGCAGGTGGACATCAGCTCTTGAAGGGAAGCACAGGCCGGCATTGAAGGAACCGGTATTCACACTTCTCTCTTATTTATTTATTTATTCGTTTATTTGTTTGTTTGTTTGCTTATTTATCCATTCATCTATTTAAATTCAGCGAGAAGGAGAAAAAGTTTCATTTCTGCAACATTGTTCTCACCTCCTCATTCAGTCTCCTTTCTGAGGCTTGTGAAATCCAGACTGGCATTCCTGGAGCTGGCCCTAGGCCAGACTCCACAAATAAGGGCCAGGGCACGGCTCGCTCTGCCAGCTGCCAGCTGGAGACCATCTCAGTGCCCTCTGCCCGAAGCGCTCTTTCCCTCTCTCTCTAATTATTTATCTTCCACTCTCTCCATCTCCATCTCTATCCCTCTCATCATCTCTCCCTTGCACACACAGTCTCCCTCTCTCTCTCACACACACACACACGCACACACACATATGCGCACACACACATGCGCACGCGCACACACACGTGCTGATGTATCTCCCATAGGTAGAAACTAGCCTTGGAAGAAGAACGCTTTAGAAATGCATCTTGCTCTTAATGCTCCCACCGTGACTGCCCCGGCATGCGTGGGATCACGTGACTCCATCAAAAAATAGAATCCATCAATGTTTACAGGGTTGGCTCCACAACTACCCTTTTATATAAACACCGCTACCTTCTTCAGAACAGGATTAACCTGCATGCCTCCAAGTCTCAGAAACAGATACAGCGAATGGTCAGTGGAACCATTCTATCAGATGGATAGGATTTACCTGTAACATATTTACATATAACGAGGAACTGGCCGGGACTCTGGCATCCTGGACCCTATGATTGCCTTTTCTACCATGGTCCTTTCAGAAATCTAGGAATTAGCCCCTTGATGAGGTCTAAGATGGGTCTGCCTTGGCTTGAATTCCCTTTAAAGGACCAGTGCTGTAGCAAATAGGCAACATCAGAATTATCGTTCCCACTTTCAAGAAGAAACTCAACGCACAGAAGTGAACTGACTTCTCAGGGCCCAGGGAAGTTCTGGCCCCTCCCATCTCCCTGTTTGGTACGTCCAGCCTCATGGTTGACATTCCCTCTGAGGGCTGTGACTTGGCACCTTCACGGACACCACACTAGAAGTTGATGCAATGGTTTCCAGCACTTATAAAACATGACACTTATAAAAAACATATTTCGCATTAAAATATATATGTAGCAAAAAGGGCCTATTATAGCTGCGACAGAGTGGGAAAAATGCACTGGGTGTGGAGTCAAACACCCTTGATTGGAATCCAAATTCTGAGTTGCTTTAAGTGCTGATTTGGGTTAGCCAGAAAATGCCTGAGTCTCAGTTTCCTCATCCATCAAATGGGGATAAGCATTCCTCACAGGGCTGCCTAGAGGCCTGATAGGCCATCATATGTAAAAGGGCTTTATACATAGTAAAGCACTAAAAATTGTGAGCTGTTCTTGTGACTCTGGGCAGATCATACAAATTTAAATGAAATTATTCTTTCTTTGTCTTGAGATTTGATACAATTCTTTCTGAATATATATGGGGTATTATATCATAATTGAAATCAGCCTGACTCTTCAAAACTACATCCAATGAAATGCTTTTGTGGGCTTCCCTGGTGGCGCACTGGTTAAGAATCCACCTGCCAATGCCGGGGACACGGGTTCAAGCCCTGGCCCGGGAAGATCCCACATGCCATGGAGCAACTAAGCCCGTGCGCCACAACTACTGAGCCTGTGCTCTACAGACCATGAGCCACAACTAGTGAGCCCATGTGCCACAACTACTGAAGCCCACGTGCCTAGAGCCTGTGCTCCGCAGCAAGAGAAGCCACCGCAATGAGAAGCCCCTGCTCGCTGCAACTAGAGAAAAACCCGTGCGCAGCAACGAAGACCCAACGCAGACAAAAATAAATAAACAGATAAATTTAGAAAAAGAAAAAGAAATGCTTTTGAGTGTCAGGGATAATACATTCGATAATTCACTAATACATTCTAGGTGACTGCAGCATTATCGTGACAAACTCAGGAGAGTTAATACTTATGGGTGACACTGGTGCTTGGTTTTAAGTGTAAGTAAAGATGAGAAGAAAAAGCAAGCATCCAAAGAAGGTGACAGAGGAGAGAAGGCTGGGGGGCGGGGGGGCTGGAGGACACAGGAAGTAGGTCCATTAGCAATGTCATATGGCTTGGACATATGCTACACTGCCTGGCCACTAGCTGACACTCTCCCTCCATGAAAACAGAAGACAGCTTTACTTTCCAGGCAATAAAAACCTCAGAGACAAATTCTGCCATATGTGGGCAAGGCCCCCTCCCACAAAGCCCTCACGTCTGGGAAATGGAATTGAACATCTCATCTTCAAAGCGAGTTCTCGGTAAATGTACTACTGGTTTTACAACCTCTATCCTCCACGCAAACCACTGGAGAACACATTTTCTCAGCATTGCCCAGTGTTGCTGTTCAATGCCCTGAGTTTCTGAAACCATCTCAGGGGAAGCGTGATCAATTTCCACTTTGCCTTTTCAAGGGGTGGGAAAACCAGAGGTCTGGGAGAGCAAGAGCCGGCGGTCTCCTTACCTTGAGCCGTTCACCTGGTTAGGGTTACATTCCATCTTGATGGTGACCCTGGCTGGGGGTTGAGACAGCCAGTCCTGCTGAGGGACACGCGGGCTCATCTTGGATGTCTGTCCATAGTCGCTGGAGGAGGACGCGGTCATGTCCGTCTTGGCCAGGTGCGGCGTGCCGTATGCGCACTCAAACAATGACTGGTCCTCGCTCACGACAGATAACGCTTCCTGGACACCCAAAGAAACACACAGTCAGGACGTTCCAAGGGACAGTCATGCTTCAAAAAGTTGCTAACTGTATGGTCATTTCTAACTGGGACCCCCTTTTTAGGTAGTTTTTACGGTATCCATTTCCACCTTTCAGCAGCAAAAGGGAGCTGGCTTTCTTTCCCCTAGAGACGGTAAGAGTTGGAACTGGCCGACCTAGAAAAACTTTTGTGCAGGTCTCCAAACATCCCAGCCTTGACCACAGCCGTGCAGATAATACCCATTTTAATCTCAACTCAAGGAAGTGGAATTTCAAAGGTCTTAGAAGACATCCAATTGCATGTGTCATTATTTGACAAATGCAATCTATAGTTCACGCAGACAGGGTACAGAATGGTCGTGAAGATTAAAAAAGACATGTGACGGCTAACACCTAAGCATCTGGCAAAACTGCCACATTCCCAGGAGATTTTGAAGAAGAGCTACTTAGAAGAGTGAGGGGGAAATGGGGCACCAAAGGACAAAGAGACAAAGGTACGAATTTTTCCACTTCTAAGTTCTTAGCTGAAATAGTTTCAAGTGGCGCTTCCATGACGGTGAACATCTGGATGATAAATGAACCAAAAAAAAAAAAAAAAAAAGCTGTGATTAGCCAGAGGTCTCCTAATACCAAGATGTTTAAAATACCTAGATCGCTGACTAGCTCTTTTTTTTTTTTTTCCCTTACTTTCTATTCCTATCTTTGCTCATTTTGCATGATTGGGTGAGAAGAAATAGAAATGTGCCATTGTTGAAGCATTCTTCTGTGGTTTTAAGTCAAACAAGTGGTTAGCCTATGGCTAGGCGGACATTCTACAGCCAAACCAGCAAAGGCAAATTCGATAGGGAAATTTCAGCTACTTGAATGACGTATCATGCAGCAACTACACAGAAGAACTACGAGACCATCCAATTTTCCTTTCTATAACCAAAACAGAAATCCATGTGGTAGTTCATGTTTACTTCAGTCCTTGGGCACCCTCGGTACTGCTATGCAGCTGGTGAGAAGCAAGTGCTGTCTGGGTCACACATGCTTTTTAAATGGAAACTTTGGAGCCAGTGGGGACTGTGGAGACCTTCTTGTCCAAACTCCTCATCCCCCAAATGGGAAAATCTGAGACCCAGGAAGGTTGAGACCTCACCTTGAGGTGAGCTGCCCAAGATAAAGCAGGGATTTAGTGAGCACACTGGTGAGTGTTTTATCTTCAGTTCCCTCCTATCCCCACAGCCTAGGACGCCCTTCTTATATTCCTTGGTTGCCGATAATTGTCTACATTAGCACTCCTTTCTTATTCTTTGAATTGATACTTAAATAAGTAAGGATGTTCCCCCCACCCCCGTTAATAATAGAGCCCTACGAAGCAGCCTTTCTAAGACAGAAGCCCCGCCCCCCCACCTCCTTGCGCAGAAGTGTCCGAATCTTTAGGGAACACATGCAATTTCACAAAGCACCCCCCACCAATCCAGTGTGTCCTCCCCCACTCCATCCTCCATCTACCCAGGGACCAACTTCTTCATCACTCCCCGAGTACCTGAACTTCACTGCCAGGCACACAGTGCTGTGAACCAGTGAGCAGGGAGAATCAAAAGGAACAAACTCAATGCTCTGGCTCTCAGAGTGGAGGCCAGGTGTCTGTGCATGGATAACCACCCCCCGCCACCACCCACCGCCACGGTATCTCTAAAATCTCTTAGAATCGCAGCCCTGTGACAGTTTGGGAAAGAGTAAGCTGGGGGTTTAAACAATAACTCAAAATGTAGAAAAGGATGGGTTGTGCCAGCCAGAGAACCAGAACCAGGCACAAGGAAGAAAAGAAAAAAGGAAGGCATCTTGAACCACCAGCAAAAGCAAACGCATCAACAAACAGACGGCAACAATCCGAGAAATGGGCACGGTAGATTCGGCGGGGGAGCCTGAGTCACATGGCTCTCTCTTCCGGTCACAAACGGAGTGAGGGGATGTAAGGAATCTAAACTCACAGACATGGGTTTAAAAGTCAAATCGGCACCACGGACTTAGTGCAGTCCTGCTAATTAATAAAGGCAAAATTATAGCTTCTTCAATAAATTGTGCAAGACAGGGTCTCCTTTCCCATCGCAGCGCTGGATGGAATGGTTTTACGCACTCAGAGCAAAAAGCAAGGCTGAAGGCTGCCTCCATTCTCCCGCCGGGTCCTGCAGACTCCACCAAGCCTCGGAGGGGAATACCATGCTATGTAATGTCAGCGTTGGCTCACCGGTGAAGAGAAACATGAATAAATGTGTGATGTGTATCAGAAATTGGCAGAAACAGGTTAGATATAAGGAGCAGGCTACCTTTAAATCACAAATGAGAAGAAAATGGCTTTCACAACAAAAAGAGTAACAATGTTAAAATATGAGTATCTCCCCAAGATAAAGTAGGATATTCTCACAAACACAACCAATGACCAAATAAATGTAGCCTAAGATTTAAAAACTGGACCAAAATACTAGAACTGAAACCAGGCTTCAGTGTGTGCTTGGAGGGGGAGGAACCCATTCTCACATCTGGCAAAGCATTTTTCCACCACATGGTTTTCTAAAGAAAGAAATCAAAGTTAATTGAGATTGATTTAGGAAAAAAAAAATCTACAAAAGCTAGAGATAAGCCGGCGGGGGGGGACACACATCTTTTCTTCATATCTTAAAATTCTCCTCCAAGTCAGTACTGAATAAAAATGAGAAAGGCCATATACTTCAGAATATCAAAAGTTGCTTTTGTTCGCTAGAGGAGAAGCAGTCTAAAAATGAGGATGCTTCAGGATAAACGTTTCATTTCCAAAGGGGTGAAACACAGTCCATATTCTGGAAAGACAGCGCATGCCCCAAAGTGATGCTAATTAAACCAAGGCAGGCAAGCACCTAGGGTTAAGTACAAGTCAGGAAAAGGAAACAAATGAATAAATGGAATATCTCACTCACACACATACACACACACACACACACACACGTGCGCGCTAACTTAGCACATCTGAACAATGGAGGAGTCAAAAGAAGCTGAAGGGTGGTCTTCAGAGACCTGCTTCAAAGAGGACCACGAAAATTAACTGCTGTTCTTTAGAAGCAAACAAATGCTATGTACCAACAGCATGCCTTTGTTCACCCACTTGACTTTGTATATTACATGTAGGTTTCATCATCCCTTTGGTTGCAGTATGAATGACAGAGGCTGACGCATAGGATTCTCCCGCCCCAGCAGCACTGGGACTTCAAAGCAGGGAAAGGATCTAGCCTAGTAGGATTAAAACCAGAATGGATCGCTACACACAGGCTGGTAACCAGGAACACATGAGTCCCTCAACTGTAGCTCTGCAAGTGACTCTTCCTGGCCTCGACGGATGCTGTCCCTGCTTCCCTGCCGTCTGGCTTCCCTCCTTGTCTGTGATCATCTCACCTACCTACCTGCCAAAGCTGTCAGCAGATGCCTTAGGTAACATGTATGGCTTATTCCCTCAGCACCTTCGGCCAGACGCAGGGACTTGCAAACTGCTTTGGCCGCTTTATGACAGAGAACTCAAAAAAAAAGTCCAAACCTGGCAGAAATGTGGCATAATTAATTAATATGCCCACCTCTGTGTTACTATAAAAAGACATGAACTTTAGATTGGTGTGTGCGTGTGTGCGGGGTGTTCTTTTCTGTAGCCCAAGGAAAGCTGGGATATTTTGATGTGCCCAGTGGCAGGCTACCAATGCCATTTTTCATCAACTTATGAGAAATGCATAAATTCTAAGCGAACTGCCCCCAAACAAAAGGGACCGTCGTGTTAGTATACAATGTTTATTATTTCATTTGAATACTGAATATGCACCAATGACATGTGAGGACCACTTCTTCAGATTTTGGTCATCACAGTTGACTGACAGTTCTCGAAAGTGAAGAGAACTCAACTAGATTATATTTCATACATGAGACTAAAATACGATTCTATTTTTAAGTAACTAGATTTGGGTACAACAAAGGTTCCAAAATGCTTAGATTTTTAAAAAAATTAGAAGTCGAATGCACTTTTAAGCATACTGACATTTCCAGCAAATGATTTCAGACAGCCTAAAACAGATGAATCTTTTTCTGTAACAGATGAATAGTTTGAGAGGCTCCTATGTTTCCAGCAAAAGAATTATAAAATAAGGGTCTGGGCTCAATTTTGCTCTTAACTTTTGATCCCCATGGTTCATAAAAACACTGAAATGTCAATCCAGAGAACCCAACATACTTAAATTTTCATGAAAATCTGGGCGTGGTAAAATGTCGAAACTAAGAAAGTCTTAAGGAATGATCGGCTCTCTTTCACAGCTGGAGCCAGTGAAGCATACACAGGGAAATGATCCTTACGTCGTTTTCAAAAATCCAGAGGACGGCCAGAACTAGGCGTCCAGGGAACAGGATTCCCAAATTCACCCTCAGTTTCCTCAAGTCTTAGGTGCCTCAAATAGTTATGAAAAACAAATGGAAAAACTAAGTGGAACAAGCATGTTAAGATTATGGTCATGCTTTAGAAAAAAAAATTCTTATAGAAGTCTTTGGTATCACAATACACTTTAGGAAGCCAAGGTCATCTTAAATCAATAGTCTGCCTCTCCCCCACACACATAACCAATCAGAATCTGGAACATCACATAACTGCTTACACTGCGATGAATAAGCCATCTTTTAGCCACATTCTCTTGACTCATAAACAGCTGATCCATCACATAATAAACCAGGTTACCTTGGTAAGCACTTCATATGCAGTATCCCTTTCAATCTTATTACACTGATTTTAAGATACACCTTTTTTCACATTTTACGAGCTCTGAAATCTGGATGCATCTCACCATCGATGGCATGTCATGGGTTATTGGCAGCATCTCTTCTCCTTTCATGGCCGGTAAAATAATGGTTCGTTTTATCATCAATGACATCTTAATTTTATGAAATACAGTCCTGACAATAGTCTTATAAGGTCAGGTGTCATTCCTGC